TTGCCTTCGAATGTTAAATACACGTGCCTCGTGAACGGAGAGACATGTGATTAACAGAAAAAAACCTCGACTACAATGGAATCCTGCTATTGATAGCATGAGTGTAGGCACAGGTAAGGGTATAGACGGGTATGGATACAGAAGAGATCAAGAACCACACCCACATCCATCACCAACTGAATTAATATCTCTTGTATTTACTCATTAAATTCATATCAATATATATTTTCATCAGAAAAGTGATCTGTAGCAAGGCAAAGAATATGATAAAACATTAGTCAAATTAAAACAATTTGTACCTGAAGTTCAAAATGAAAATTCAACAAGACATTTGGTTGAGATGAAAAGACCATCACCTTTTATTTTTTTCAATAAAATACTAATACCATCTGCAAAACAAATAGGCAGTTTTACCGTTGTTTCACAAAGTTGAGCATGTAGGTGGGTGGGTGTGGATGTGTGAACAAGTGGGTATCGGTCTAGACTTGAATGCAAGTGTGAGTAGGGTGAGGCTGTGCGGATGTATGAATGTGGATTGGATGTACTTGTAAATAATTCTCTACATCCATACAGTCACACCCACACCCATTACTATGGGGTGTGGGTGTTTGAAGTTTTGGTTCAAATCCACATCCACACCCAGATTTGGGAGGGAATAGGTAAGTTAACTTTGAATTTGTGATATTTGTTAATTTGTTTTTGTTAAATTTAGGAAACTGATTTTTAATTTTTTTTCTTTATGAATTTCTAGTCATTAAACAATAATTCTAATTTCCTCTAGTCGAAATTAGAATTCTAATCTCGTCCATAATCAGTTTACTCGAACTTAGAAATTCACTTTAGTCCAGACAAAGTTAGAATTCCAATTTCGACTGGAAGAATTCCGAATCAGGCTGAATTCCAACTTCGGCCACAACATATATATATAGAAATGCAATTTAGTCTCATTAACATCATGATACATTAAAAAAAGCAATTTGTAATCACTACTGTTATTTTAATCATTCTGATGTTGTTCGATTTGTCTCATGATTTTGATTACATGTCCGATATTAATGTTGATGTTTTTAATTCATCTGATTCAACAAGTCCATTACTAGTAGCTTTTCCAAGTATTGTTTCTCGGCTTTTTCGTTCATTTCGACGTCGTTCAACATTAGCCCGAAAACTTTTAAATCCAATCCACATAAATAAATTTCATGTTGACGTTGTGCTGTTGTTGTTATAGGATGATAATCTTTTGGACGATCTTTTCTTATGACAACTGGTGCATTAGCCTCAATACTTTCTACTAGTATATGAAGTGTACCAAGAAAATATTTTGTAAGACCATTCAATGTATCAACACAATGCGTACGATCATTTTCACATATTGGCAAATCCATAGCCACAATAACTAAATGATTTGCTTTAGGTACACGTAATGACGGCCCAAGAATATCAACAAAATCTGATAAGTGATCATATCGTATAAATTGTGTATCTTTTGGATCAAATCGTTACTATTTCTCATAGTACATATCATAATCATCATCAGTTAAGCCCTAAACAAATAAAAACAATAAGGTGTGAGTGTTCTTTAAACTCACACTGACACCCATCCACCCCCACACCCTCACTTACGGGAACTATGTGATATATTGTTTAGGATTAAGATAATAACCTTGGCTATATCGAGAGTAATTTAGATATTCCCGATCATTTAATTATTATTGGATTCTTATAGTTTTGGAAGAAAGAATAAAGTATCTCTCCGTGGTGTAATGGTTAAAG